AACAGCAAACCTTTTTTCGCAGAGATTAACCCAGTGCTACGATACTGACGGCTTCTTGAGAATCACAGGACACACATGACTCTCTCACTTGGCGCATGATACTCCCTCATTCGGAACATCTTCCGTCTACAGCGTACCCTCTGCATTTTTTCGAATTTCAACGGGTCTTTCCTGCTTCTTCGAAGACAATCACACAGGCATCTTGAGGATTTTACCTGTGACAGCGCCGCATGTTATAAGGGAACCTAAGATTATTTCTACCCCACAATCATCGATTATCCGCAACAACTCTAATTAACCCTAGTCCTCAGGAATTACCGAGCACAAACCCTTAGGCGCTCAAAGCAGAATGGAAACTGGGCGAACAGCGACTGTCCATGTGGTTCGCAGGTCAGAGACACACATGCAGACAAAACTCATATACAATACACTACCAGCGAAGCCTCGACAACCGCAACCGTGGAGAACGCCTAAGCAACACCCTCCCGTAGGAAGTTTTGTTTGCAAATCGCCACTAGTACATACCTTCCCTGCAACAAAGAATTACAAGCCGACGCTGTGCTACTGTGCAACCGAACATGCATGACGAACCTCCTGCAGATTTATCGGGAGTACTCAATAAACACCCGCTAACTCTAAAAACAACCGGAAGGACAGGTATGCAGTGTCGAAGCTAAACTGACGGTACACAGGACGAAGCGTTGGAACCCTTAGCTTGCAGAGCCGCTCCTAAGCAGCGCACACCTATTGCTAGCCGCAGATGCAGCTGTCAGCAGGACAACAGGGTTATGGAACTACTTCACGGCTGCATTTCACGGCAACCAGCAAGAGACTCCAGGGCAGCCGCCCGCTGCCAGCAGGCGGGGCACGCGCTGAATGCTTGCTAGATCAGGTTACGCGCCCCCTAAATGCATACCGCCACGTGTGGTGTAGCGAACGATCCCACCGGGGCATGTAGGAAGTAGACGTAAGGCGGTGTGGGCGCAATAGTGACGGAACGCGTGAGATGTTTATTGGAATGCACGCTCCACTCCAGCATGCCCTGAACAACTAAGTCTGTCAAGAAACTGGGGCTTGCTATGATTGATTCCCAGCTCCACAATGCAAGACCTGAACACCATGTTGTTCGCACATTGGTCCAAGCCTGAACAACCACTAGCAAGTACGAATATGCAGTCGGCGTAGTTCGCAAATTATCATCCTGCGAGGATATCTGACAAGGCGCCCACGGAGACTGCATCTGGCGACGTGGGTATGCCACACGCAAAAGACGCCTGCTACGCCGTTACCATGCTACACTCCCACCTTTCCTGGTGCTTGTTGCTGCACGTCTGCCTTTTGTGATGACTGTTGCTGCAATTTCAGCTTTTCGTCACTACGGCACATCAGACCCACTAGCTGGTAGCGAAACGCGTTCGTCTTAAACATGACATCTGAACTATATGCACACGTACATTCCTACATACACA